ATTCAAATGAGTCACCACTTTTCCAAGAAGACTTCAACTCTTCTTTGTTAGGATGTTCAAAAACAACCCAGGACACACCAAGACAATGTCAAGCCGGGCATGACCTTAGAACTGCTGCATCACTGTCCACAGTGAAACAAGTTTGGACTGAGAGGGTGTCATTCAAGAAACAAGCCCCTGCTCTAAAATCAACACCTTTAAGCTTAACTGAAATTTGCAGCCGCCCACTTTGAGTAGCCAAATGCCTTCTGGAGAAAGATTTTATGGCCAGAAATGAAAAAGATCGATGTCACTGCTGGGGCAGCAGTCGTGTGCTGTTGTGAAGGAAGACCCAAGTTGCAGACAACGATGGTGATGCGAGTGAGTTTATTTACAGTGAGTGACAATAAACAGAAGTGAGGACAAAACTAAGTCAAACTGGGGAAAACTAGGGAACAAACCTGAAATCATACAAACACGGGAAAACGGCACAGAGAATGTAGAGCAGAGAGACACTGAGATACACAGACGAAGCGACGATCAGCACAGGTATACACACACTATAAATACACATGGAAGGGAATGAGGAATGGCCAAAACAGGAGGAAGACACAGCTGATCCTAATTGACATCACGAGCGACAGATTTTCAAAGTAAAACAGGAAAATTACACAGACCGCGAACACAGGAAACACACGGGCAGGAATGACCCAACACTAAACAGGGGGGAGCGCAAAACCTAACTAGGAAAAGCTTAACAGAAAACAACCAGAACACAAGCTAATATTCATTAATACAAAAACCCTGAGTCACAGACTCAGGACCATGACAATCGAGGTGTTTGGCTAAATTGACAGGAAGTATGTTTGGATAAGTAAAGGTGAAGCTTTCAAATGTAAGAGCAATGTACCAGCTGTCAAGCATGGTGGTGGTAGCATCATGCTCTGGGGCTGTGTGATACTGGTACATGAAAACCAGGCTAACATTAAGTTTCTGGAATGGCCATCCCAAAACCCCAACCTCATGTTGAAGATGTGTGTGCTAGGCTTAAAACCAACCAATTTAAATTAACTCTACTAATCCTGTTAGGAAGAGTGGTCAACTTGTGGCTTGTTGATGGCTAACAAAAGCATCTGGTCGAGGTGCAGCTAGCAAAATCACATTTAACCAAATATTAGTGGGAGTCTATGTTATGTATGTATTTGAGCTTGTATGTATATATTTGACCCTGTGCAAACATCAAAATGAACCTATGTGAATTACAGAAAATCCAAAATAAACTGAAACTTATGCACTCTGTTCTTTTTAAAGCCATATAAGATACTGTTTTTGTTTCCATCCTGAAAAAAGCAATTGTTCAAAGAAATCAATAAAAATATTAAAAGTTAAAAAAGAAGTGCTGTGACCCCTATGACCATGATAAACACAACGGTATGCCCAGATCTCAGTGTCATTTCCATTAGCCTGATATTCCATTGATCCTGTAGTTTATCTTTCTCCTGAAGTTTGGTTGTGTTTCTGTGAAAGCCTCCTGCTTCTCAGCACGACTTTAATCAGGCAGCAAAACATAAAAAATGTCAGAGGAAGAGGAAACTGGCAAACGCTTTCTCTGCATGGACCTGTTTCATTTATGCACGGTCCATCTGATAAATCTGTGTCCATGCATCGAAAGTGTTCCAGATGAAAAGTGGGAAACAGGCAGTTTGGCAGTGTTGTGAAAACATCGGGTTTGCTGACTGAACTGTTATTTTCATTGATCATATTGAAGGTCATGTAAAACAATATAAAAGCAGAATATTGTGACAGCGCTTATAAATTCAATTTAAAAGCATAATTTAACAAATACACTGGTCCACAATGGAACACTTAAACCTCATGCTGTCATGTTAGTCCTACTAGCATGAAGATTTTTTAAAAGAAATCACGTACAGCATATAAAACGAATGCTTCAAAGGCTGTAATGTTTTAAAATGAGTGAGCCCCTTTTGTTTTTGATCCTTAGTTTGCTCACTTTGAATATCCTATTCAGCTAAATCATCCTGAGACTTGGCATTATTATTTCAGTATATTTAGCATTATAGATAATTAATGTAGAGTGCAGCTCCCATACTGGTTTGAAGACTGTGACCCACATTTTCCTTTGAGTTGTAACTGAGAGATGACTTTATCACCTAAAATATAGGGCAGGAATCAGACATACATTGGGGTAACAGCAGATATCATCATAACATCATAGTCCTATAAAATCTTCTTGATCTTAACAAGCCTTGAACTACTTGGCAGGTATGAAAAGTGGGATTATTAATGACCAAGTTATATATATATATATGTTTTGAGCTTTTGTGATAGTTTTAATCATAAACAATAAATTTGTCATGTAACTTCTCCAAAAACCTTTCACAGTTTTGGCCAGGTTAAACGGAAAGTTGCGTGGTCTAATTTATGAAATTATAGCCTTTGAGTTTATTGTAATTTTTCACTTTTAATCACTGCATTGTGATGTTTTCTGTGAAGATTCACAGATGTCCCGGAGTACATGCAGTTTAACAGCCAAACAATCTAAACAGACAGGCAAACCATGGACCAATATGCTGCTTTCAGGGACATTTGGACAGTGTTTACAGCCCAGTTACCCAAATACTGGCTCCATTGTCATGATCTGTGTGGGGATGAACAGCTGGCAGATTTCAGATGCAGGGGCAGTTTGGGGCAACACATCTCCTTTTCTAAACAAGCAAATGTGGCATAAACACCTTTTTGCATGATAAACATCATAAATCCATTTGATCATTATAGAATATCTATCACAGATAAAGGAACCAATGGAGCCATTAAGAAAAAGATCTTCAAAAACATAAAATGACTTTCAGGGTTTAATATGCTGTTCAGTTAAACTGCCCAGAGACTTGTCATTATTATTTCAGTATATTGAACATTATAGATTATTAATGCAGCTCCCATATTGGTGTGACGGGACTGACCCATATTTCTAATTATGTTATGACTTAGTGATGATGTTATCACATTCACTACAGGGCAGCAGTTTACAGTCAGCTTCATATAGTTTTCACACTTTGATTAGTCCATAAGGTCAGAAATAAATTAAGGTAATCACAGTTTTATTATCCTGTTCCCTTAATTTATTCATGCATATTTTAAAATTTAATCTCCAGCTGTCTTTGTCTTGTCACTGTCTTGACCTATTTTCCTGCTGTAAGAAAGAAAGGGAAAGTTGGAAGTGTGAAGGTTGCCTTAAACTTGTTTATTTATTTAACTTTGGCGTTGTGAGCGAGCCGTCCTGAACTTAATTATGTTTCTGTTTTATATGAATTCTGTGCTTGTTTCAGTGCACAGATGCAAAGTAGAGGTGCACATATTTATAACAGAAAATAATTTGAAGATTTATGCCTCTTGTTTTTGGTTCTTATGGTTAAATTGCATTGCATTAACAGTGATGATGAGTGAACCGTTCAGATGCCTTAAACCTTTTGCCAAATCTTCTCTCAGAATTCTCGGGATGACTTTTGGTTCAATTCTGACCTTGGATGCTCACATTAAATCTCTGGTTCACTCTTGCTTTTATCAAATAGGACTTATTGCAAAGTCCAGGTCCACTGTGTCAATATCTGAATTGTAGATTGCTATTCATGCCTTTAGTTCATCACCTTTGGATTTTTAATTTTTTTTATAAATGTGCTTAAATCTCTTTCAACTTTTTAAAACATTTTATCTGTATGTTTTTAGCATTTTAGTTTTTAAATTTAGCTTGAAAGATGCTCTATAAGTAAAATTTTTAGTTACTTTTAAGTTTAATGCATAATCTGCATCATAGTGCAATCAAATGTTCACTAACCCACACTTGAAGTCGAGAACCTCCAATCGTCTACAATTGTTGCAAAACTAAAGCATTTGGGACTCCCTGAAAGCTCCAGCGATTCCAGTTTTGCAAACAGGAACCAAAGATTATAATGTAAAACAATACTGCCAAATGGTCTGCTTACCAGCTGGAAATGTCTATTCTATTACCGGATACAAACGATCTCATCCACAGTTCTGCGAGGAAGCAGTGTCAGTACTTTGTGTTTCACAAGACACGAATTCAAACTTCTTTGGATAGGATGATTTGAGTGATTCTTTGGAGATGAGAAGAATTTGATTAATCCCACTTGTCTCTGAAACTTTTGACTTTCTAAACTTTCTAGAATTTGAAGCACAAACAGATACACAAAGCTGATTTGCAGCACTCACAAACTTCAGCTGGTGATTTAAACTCAGAAGCACAATTTGTTCAGAATTTGTTTCTACTCTTTGGCTCCACTTCTAACATGTGCACATAGACAACAGGGAAAGTGGTGCATAAAAGAAACAATCGGAGGTGCTCTGTTGGTATTTGAGTCCAGATGTTATTTTTCCTTCTTCCAAATATATGATTACGTTCAATCATAAAATCCATTAAATTCCAGGACATGTTTCATGTTTTGACCATTTTTTATCTTAAGTTTCTTCAAATCTATCATTTTAATTCTTCTTACAGCAGTATGAGGAAAACAGCTTTATGAAAGCAGGTCAGGAAAAAAAGACAACAGGAGAGAAGAAAACCGCAGAGACACTAGGGTCTGTGAAGTTCAGAAATTATTAATCAAGCATAGCATTAGTTCAGGCAGTTCATGAAGTTAAGCTCAGCTGCAGTCCCAGGAGATCAGCTCATCTCAGTGCCAGCCTACATTAGGTGATGGTTTGGCTCATAAAATTCTACATATCCATTTGTGAAGTCTTATTTAGAGCACCGTATTTGAGTTGCTTTGCTTTGCAAATCGCCTCTGCCACAGTTCCTCCTTTTCATGTAGCGTCTGCATTAATTCATTTAATCTCTGATGTCACTGATGTTCTATTCTGTGCTGGGGGGTTTTGTTTCTGCTCTGCCCTTCAATTTCACCTCAGATAAAAACATCAGTCTCCTTTCTGGATAATTTTTGAAAACATGTCTTTTTTTGTAATGTTTCCTCTTCTTTTCTGTGCAGGTACTGGTCTGATCTGGATGGATGATGTTGCATGCGCAGGGACAGAAGACAGTATTCACCAGTGTAAGTTTTCCGGTTGGGGCAAAACCAACTGTGGCCATGTCGAGGACGCTGGTGTGACCTGCACCGTCTGAACTTTCAGGATCCCAACACTGCTGCAGCTGCCAAGTATCACCCAAACGCTGCCTTAAACTTCAAGTGCTGAAAGCCCTGCCGTGTGCAGCAAGAGTGTCATATTAGTAGTATGCTGCCTACTTACCTATAAAAAAAAAAGTGCCAACTCACCTGATGCATGAACTTAACCTGCAGCTTGGTTAGAAGTTCATGACTAAACATATCTATATGAGCCACGGGATTGAATCACAGTGCAGCTTTTGCCAACATAAAAGTTATGTTTTCATTAACTCTACAGTATGAGCTGAAGGATGATCACATGACAGGATGCTTCATGAGGCTGAACTAAAGGGCAAAGGTCAGCATTAACAGGAATGGAGGCTCACCACAGACCAGGTTTGCTGCTTTGACATCCACGAGAGGATTGTCGGATCTGACAACTTCATCTACATTTCCACGTACTAAAGCGCTGAAAAGGCATGCAATGGAACTGACAGGACAGTCTCTGGAGAACTGGTTTTCATATGCAGGCAGCTGCTCTTCACAGTATTATTTAGCAATGGCTTTTGCTCAGTATACCACAGTGTTGCCTTATTACACGTTACAGCAATGGCCAAGTAGGTAACTGTTTGGTGGTTTGCAAACCAGGCGATGCCACAAAATCAAACTAATTGAACTTTTTCGTTATTTTTTTTTCTTTTATTTGAATGCAAACTAAAGTACTGTTTATATTCACCATTTCTCAACAAAGCATGCTTTTCTTTCAGATCTGTTTATACTATTCCATTTGTAAAACAGCTGCAAAACGAAATTTTGAATTATTCTAAATGAAGTTTTGTTTACAGCATCCTGTAGATACCCCTCTTTCTGCACTTAGGGTCCAGTAAACAGTCAGAAGTGCTCGTCACATAGTCAAAAAGTCTCTCCACTTTCACGCTTTTCCAGTGTATAGTTATTGAGGTGGAGTTTAAGGCTTAAACTTTTTTATATTTCTGTCACTTTTTATAGTCCTTAGTGATTAAAGCTCTATCAGGTACTAATAGTGATATTTTTTTTAAAGCTTGAGCAATCTATCAAATCTGCATTCTGGCAAAGATTTTTAGCTGATTCTTTGAGCTTAAGTATTCTTTTTAGCATCAGCATCATTTCCAGTTGCATGGTGGTAGCTATTTTTATCCAAAAAGCCCAACAAATGTTAAACCTAACAACAAAGAGTAAAACATAAATCAAATAAAACATTTCACAGCTACAAAGTCTTAAAATATTTCCTTCAGGAGTTTGTGAATACCAAAAAAAAAACAATCAACACACAATTTGGATGCTGGACGTTTACTCATCAGCTGAATGTTGCTCAGTAGTCGTTTATGTAGCAAACAAATACGCAATTTTGAAAGCCAATAATATACAAGCAGGGTCTGTTTTTGAAATGCACAAAGTGCCAAAAAATGTGTTTGTTTCTTTCATGTGTGCATCCTTTAAACTGCAAATCACCAACCTGTGCTTACCGTGGGCTTCTATAGTTATGCAAAAATTATAATAATGTCATTAAATAACAAGTTCTGGAAAGAGTTAACAGTCACCCCTGTTGACAGATGAAGTGATGATGAAGAAGAACAGATGAGTATAAACAGATGGATGCATGGAGGCCTGCCCTGTATGATTTATAACTGTGGGTCTGTCAGTGTTTACTGCCAAAAAATTGGCTTGTTTCAGCAATAACATGCATACACACAATCTCACTCACATCAAAACATCAGACCAACCACAATGGACCTTTCTCCCACATTTTACCTCACTCTCAGTGGAATTTCAGCTTCACGGCTGCTTTCAAATCCAAAAACTTTGTACCTCCCAGGTTTCCTCGTCATTGCTTCGGAGCCAGCAGAAGACATGGAGCGGCAAGCTGGAAAAGAATACACGCAGAAACCTGAACACACCCATGTTTTATATTTGAAGTTTGGAAAGTTTTTTTATCCACCTTAAAAATCTGGCAATCTCACAAACCTCAAAAGACTGAAGTTAAATTCTCTCCAGCCTTAAAATCTGTGAGCTGTCTTAGATTTGTCCCACTTACTTTTTATGAAAATCAATCTGCAAACTTGGTGTCTGGATCCAAGAGAGCAGAGGAAAAAATATTTTGGAGATGAACTTGACTTTGTTCTGCTGCGGCCAAAAATGGTTTTCTCTGCCCCATGTCTAAGTGCCTTGGTGTTTGTCGAGGTTTTTGCTTTAAACCGCAATCCTGCCACAGCAAAACAGAAATGACGAACAAAAAGAGGGAGTCTGGGGAAAGAGAAAATGAGGTGATAAACCAGATTCAGCAAACTGATGTAAGTGAGAATGGTTGATGTGTTTTTCTTGTATTTTCTGCAAGTATTGACAGGGTGACTCAGGACTCGTGCATAATCAGGTTATATCAGTGTCCTTTGGCTAGCTGATCACATTAAATCATCACATGTGACATCTGCATTACATTACATACCTCCATCGTGTCTAGTGAAAGGCAATGAAAACTCTGGGCTGCTGGGCTTTTCTTTCATAATCACTTTAATATATGCAACAACATCTGTGTTGTTGCTCATTCTATTTAATGATATAAAACATATTAGAGGTCAAATAGTTTGTCAGCTAATCAGTACATTAACAAAAACTCTTCACATTATCTTCTTAAACTTTCTGTGTGACAGGATTTTGTATTTTTTTTAATATTTTATAGAAGAAACAACAAAATAATCATTAGATAAATCACTAATGCCAATAAATGTTTCAACAATACAGTGTTCAGGCCAAAGTTTTTCCACAAATACAGTTACAACCAATAACTGACATCTTCTTTTGTTGTTGTTGTTTTTCTACATTAAAGCAAAGGTAAATCTTTCAGCTGCAGGTGTGTACAAGCAGCAGTAAGTTTGTACCGCACACAGGCTTTTACTGCCAAGCATGATGGGGTTTTTTTTTATTTTACCTGTTCTTAAAATATTTGAAATATTGTATTTGCATCACTTTGCATCTTTGACTTTCTATTTACTCTGCATAAAATCAAAATTTGCATAAGTTTAATCTGGAAAGTAGACCATTAGATTGTATATAAAAGTGACCATTGTGGCCAGTGGCATTACTGTTTTGGTCTTTTTGAAACTAGCCATGAAAAGCATGGGAGGATCTGTCTGAGAAACTCAATGCTGAAGAAAGAAGCCAGCCAACCAAAGGCAGGCCCTGCTTTACTATTTTATTCTCAATGAAACTACAATTTAGAAATTAAAGATTGTGCTATATTTAAAAAATGCCTGGTAAAAAGTGTTCACTGAGGTTAAAGATCTGCAAATAGGCTTGTAGGCTTATATTTCCACCCCCTGCTGGCCATTAAAAAGAATGCAGGTTTAAGACTTTCACTTTTTCAGGCTATGTCACTGAATCCAGTTTTTGATTGCAGCTCTAAGCCACACCCACACAAACACTGCCTGCATCGATATCATATAATGCAGTTTTGTTTTTTTTATTGTAGAAATCTCCATAAATAGTTGTGCGTTAAAGAGTAAACCCCTGGCTGGATTTTACAGCAGATTATTTCATTCTCATTCAAATTCTTCTTAGACAGGCAGAAGGATATGTGGAAATTCTTTTTGGAGCACAGAAAGCGATAAAGCAAAATGTGACTGTGTGGCGGCCAGGCCTCTGAGCTTCTCTCATTTATCTTCTAGAGGCGTCAGATTCAGCACTTTGGCTGCAGAGTTATTACTTCCTTTGTAAAACAACAGCCAGAAATAACACCCTCGACTCCTTCCATATTTTTTCTATCTGTTTGTTTGTCATCTCCTTTTAAAAAAACGATACGTTAAGTTAACCATAAAAACAAGCAAAAGCAGGTTGAATTTTTTTTTTGTAAATCATTTTGTACTGGCATTAGTTTTTTAGAAAATAAAGGGCGGTTTGTAGCATACTACAGTATTTATACATGTTTTGTTATTTGTAATTTTAATATGTTTCTTTAATTAAAGTTACAGTATATCATAACATCCAAGTGGCAGTTTCTTCAGCTTTTGTTTCCAGCTCAAATTTTGTGCCATTTCATTTCCAACTTAACAAACAGGAAGTAAAGGGACAAAAAATTGCGATTTTTTTTTTTAAACTCGGTGAATGTAAGACTGAATTGGGAAAAAAAGCATGTTGATTTGTTCAGATCATATTCTCTGTATTTTTCATCAGACTTAATTTCTTTGGACATTTCTAAATAAAAAGAGCTGCAGATTGGTGACAAAATAAATACAAAAAAACACTGAACCCCATATAGTGAAAGGATCGGATTGTTCTATTATGCATTAGGGGCCATTGTGCTGCTTTTTCTTTGGTTCAAAAAGCTTGAAAATCACAAATGTAGGTATGTTGTGAGAGGAAGGCAGGACGCCCAGACATGCCAGAGAAAACTTGGATGAGTGGCAAAGGTGAAAGGACACCCACGCTTTCTTTGTACCCGAAAAACTGAACATACTGGTGAACAACAGCATCATATACTTTAGTTCAAGGGAATCAAACCGTGGGTGTTTATATAAGTCCTACAAATGATGAGAGTATTTGAGAGCACTTTTTAAAAACAGGTTGAGGCCTTCCAAAAACAGTAACTGTAGAGAAGAGCTTAAATTTACCTCAGATGAATCTAATCTGCTGGTGAATACATTGCAGGCTAATCATATACTATTACCTTATGGGTACAATTTATCAGGCAGAAAATGTAAACCAGTGTCTTCTACTGTGGGCTTTCTTTTCTTGGTTCTGTTTATTTTGACTCAGTTCAAGGTAACTGGCTGAGCTGCAGTGTGTTAGACATCAGCAGAGCAAAACTGTTGTGCTGTGATTAACTGGCTAGTTAGCGACTCCTCTGATCTCAGATAATAGTTTGAGTACAAAAACACCCTCATGTCATTACTCAGAAATACCCTTGGAAGTGACCACATACAGCAACCATCTTGTAATGTTTTCTCATTTTCATTCAATTACATTTAACGGCAAAAAAAAAAGCTGTCCTTGTGGATTGTAATGTCTTGGCTGTGTTCTGTGTATCTTTTATAACACTGTGCTGCTCGTAACAGATAGAAGAGCTTAGGAATTAAAAAAAGGATTTCACCTGAAAACTCACAGAGCTTTTTACTTTGTGTACTGTTTATATGTGCCACTAAAATGCTGCATATGTACTGCTGAAATAATAAAATGTAGATTTGTTTAAACAGGTGAACTTCATTATTTCTGCAGATTTGTGGAGGGGAATTGGAAGCAGGAAATCTCTGCACGTCAGCAGGTGAAAAGAAAAGAGAGGGAGGAAGTTAAGATGGACGTGTGTGTGTGTGTGTGTGTGTGTGTGTGTGTGTGTGTGTGTGTGTGTGTGTGTGTGTGTGTGTGTGTGTGTCACAGAAATCACACAGCTGAGGCATGTGGAGGTGTACAGCACATGGGTGTTTTCACTGACAGCTTCTAGCAGTAATCACGTGTATGATTGTTTCCAAATGCGAAACGAATGTAAAAATGGATGAAAAATCACCCCGTGGCCGGCAGTCGGAATAAAGGCTGTGAAGTCGTGTAAACATGGTTTCAGTTATCTTGCAGGAAAGTAAGACTTTAACTTTTTATTTGATACATCAAAGCATGAAGGTATGCAAGAGGGACTACTTTGACACACATGTAGACTATTGTACTGATGTTTCAAGTAGATTTTTTGTCTCTAACCACACGATCAGATGTTTTCTGATAGTGAGTGAGGGGTTTTTTTTTTCCAGAGAGAGCAAATGTTTTTAATATATTGATCATTTTGAGCCATTTTAGTTCACAATGGAGAGATTTGATGAAACTAAAATAATAATTTTAGTCAATTTTAGTCCATAGAATAGGCTGGAAAATCATGGGAATGCCTTTGCCTGTTCACATCTCTGTCTGGTGTAATATCACACCCCGATTGTGCCAATGAGTGTAATCAAAGGATGAAAACTAAGATTTTGTACCCAAAAAACTATTGAGTATGGATGCAGTCATTTTGTAAATGATTTTGGGGGAAAAAAACTTTAAAAAATACAAGATAAATTATTGGTTCTCTTATTATTTTTAGTTTTTACATACAGAATAATTACCTAGTTCAATTACAGAGCCGATGCACAACACCACCCACCTCAAAGTGCTTTATATAATCAGCTAGGCCATACAATGCCAGAGAGAGAAGTCCAAAAATCACTCCTGTTCAATAGGAAGAAACATTCAGCAGAACCAAGCTCTTAGGTTAAAGAAAAAACATAAAAGAAGAAGGAGGATCAACAAAACACAGACCACAGGACAGAGAGGGCATTGTAACTGACGTGCAGCGGTGGCACACGTGGAGAGTGGAGCAGAAATGCTGTGCCTATCATGGAAAGGCCTCCAACAGTCTGATGTAAGATGCACAACTAAGTGATGCTTCAAAAAGGAAGACTTTAAGGCTAACCTTAAAAAGGGGGTTGTCTGTCTCCTATATCCAAAGTGTAAATGGTTCTACAAGAAAGGAACCTGAGACTTGAAGGCTCTGCCTCTCATTCTACTTTTAGAGGCTCTAGGAACGACAAGCAAGCCTGCAGTCTTTGATCAAAGTGCTTTACTGGGATAATATGGCACAGTGAGATCTGTAAGTTATCATGGCACCTGATAATTCAAACTTTGTATCTCAGGAGAAAGATTCTAACTTTAGAACCACCTGTGTAATACTGTGAGGCTGAACTACCATAGATGGACACGAGACTTTGACAGTGAATTCTTTCAGGAGGTTGGAGCGTTCATGGATTGTTGTAAGCAGTTTGTGCCGTTAACACAAGGGACACTTCCCAGTCACAGTAACAATCCATGCCAGAACCATAGACTGTATATAAAACATGAATGTAGCTTTGGCGTTTGGAAAGTGAAGCCAATAATTCAGCTTTCATTATTCCTGATGGCCATGAGGAGGGGACTCGTTTGGTTTCGAAAATAATTCTTCTTCTATGGAAGTCTGGAAAACAAAGACTTTGATCCACAACCTCAGGAAACACTTTCCTGATGAATTTGTGGCCAGAGTCACTAGTTTTAAGTCTTGTTTAATACAATGTGACTTTCATTGTATAAATTATGTTCTCCTTTGTGTAACTGACAGCTTGCAAGCCTTTCAGTGTGTGCCTCAATTTAGCAGTGAAATCCACACTAACTTGTCACATGTCAGATTCAACATGTCAAGACTGTGACAGCAAAACTGCACAGCAATCTATGGCATAATGTTGCTTTCTAAAGATATGACCAGTGTTTTGTTTTGGGGGGTTTTTATATTTTTTTTTCTCATTGTTTTTTCTCAATTACAATACATGAGATTATTTTCTTGTTCATCCCATAAGAGCACTCAGTTTCATAACAAGAAACCGAGGGTTCTTCATGTCTGGTTCAGACATGAAATTAACCAAAACATTGGTCCAACTCATGCATTTGCCACAACAAAGAAGGCAGATGTTGTAAATTCTCCTCAGCATCAACTCCACATGCCATCCTCCCTATTTTTCATCTCATTACTTGGCATATATAATCTCTGGTTATACTGTGGCTTGTTTGGGCAGGAGACAGAGTGAACTATAAAGTGTTTTATACAAGCTGAGGAGTGGAGTTAAACTGGAAGGCAGTCTCTGCATGTTTGCAGTATGGAAACAATTCTTTCATGAGTTGCAATTCTGTTTGATTCCAGATGAAAAAAAGGCCACAGGGAGAGAAAGACGTATATGAGTCTTGACACATAAATCCTGGATGATGCTGCACTTGAAGTGCCATCCTAACCCATCCAAAAATACTACATTTAGCAAAAATATATTCTGTGCATTTCTTTTTCTAAGCAATAATGATTCTGAACAAGCAGGATAGAAATTCTTCTAGTTATATTCAAGGATCTACATACTTTTTTATGATCTTGTGCATGAAAGTCCTGAATCCTTTCAGACTTCATCTAATCACATGGCAGCCACTTGATGCATTTTAGACATTTGGTCAAGACGACCTGCTGAGGTTCAAATTTAGCATTGGAGTTGGGAAGAAAAGTGAGTTAAGTAACTTTAAACTTTGCATAGTTGTTGGTGTAAGACAGGCTGGTCTGAGTATTTCAGAAACTGTTGATCTGCTAGGATTTTCTCACACAACCATCTCTGGGGATTAAAAAGAGGAACATTTGCAGTGAGCAGCAGTCCTTTGAGTAAAAATACCTTGTTGACGTCAGAGGTAAGAGGAGAATGGCGAGACTGCTTCAAGATAATAGGAAGGTAGCAATAACTCAAATAACCACACATATCAACCAAGGTGTGTAGAAAGGCATCTCTGAATGAATAACACATTGAATCCTGAAGCAGATGGTCTACAACAGCAGAAGACTACATTCGGTCCCACTCCTGTCAACTAAGACAGCACAGGCTCACCAAAAATGGAAATTAGAAGACTGGAAAAACAATGTGAGCAAGATTCAGAAGGTAGGGTCAGAATTTTGCATAAAAAACACGAAAGTGTGTCTCCGTCATGCCTTCTTCAGGCAGTTTTGTTATACTATTGGATGTAAATTAGTTTAGGTGAATGGAATGTTTCTAAAGGACCCCTAAAGGACTCCCTAAGGACCCCAAAGCGCTTTACATATCCAGTCATCCACCCATTCACACACACATTCACACCCATTCACACAATTTTTTTTTTTTAAATCACAACTTATTATCATCCTGCTTTAAGTCTAATCTCTGTACTCAAATAATTACACTAAGTCATGCAACTGTTTTGTGTATGTTTTTGACCGTGAAGCACGTTTTCTTTCTGGCTGCTTCTCTGTGGTATGACCAGAAACTAACTCATCCTTATTCTAGAAAGTGAACCACAACATGTGGCAACAGAGCCCATGAACATGAGCTCATTCCTCTTAAGGGGAATTAGCAAATGAAAAAAACAGAGATAGAAAGAGAGAAAGTCCCAGTGTTCCTCTCCACATCCATTTGTCTTTGGACTACATTCCTGCTCCTCTTCCTCATAATGAAATGGTTATCCCTGCAAACAATGGGAAGACTGAGCTGCAGGAGCATCTGCAGCATATGAAGTGGGAGATGAAACAAAAATTGGCTCACAAGGTCGAGGTCAACTTCAGCATCACCACTGAGGGCATTCTTTGAGCCAAGGCGTTGGAGAGAAAGCAGGCACGAACTGAAAATGGCCCTAGTCTCTTCCTAACATGCTTTTATGACCCACATACTTCGTGATCACCAGGCCTCAGTATGTTTTCGGGTAATACTGAGACAAACAGCTGCTTACGTGCTGAAATGTGGATGTATTATTTGAGTAAAGCATTAAAAATGAATCAGAAACACAATACATTTTTACCAATAGGCTAACAATTTAAGTAAACTCATCAGTATTTAAAATACAGCTGGAAAGGTGAACTGTTCTTGCTTTAAGAGCAAGTGGAGACTTTCATAAATCAAGAGGATGAAAGGATCTGAGGGGAAACTAAACCCTTCATTTTCATTAATCTTTGGATCGTTTGTACTTGTTTTTCCATCTCAACAGCAAAGCCTGAAGATGGCTCGTCGTTGACTCGACAGTCCCCTGGACTTCGCTGCAGGTACTTTTAACATTTCTCCACTTATTTCAAGTGTCACTAAATGGCTGTAATAATTTAATAAGTTCCAGTGTGAATATCACGCTTTAATGTTATCAAAATATGCGTATTCCAATATTTTTCCCCATAAATTGTTTGTCTGCTTTAAATTTTCTGGGAGAGGTGTAGAAATTATTAACGACTGGTGTATGAATTTGAAAAAAAGGTGTTACTTTGATTTGAAGGCTTCAAATTTGACACTTTTTTAATGAAATAGATAAAAATATCTTAATGGTCTAAAATTTGTAAAATGCCCCAAAATTAGTCTCTGTGGTAACAGCATCTTCAGCATGTCATGACGTCAGAACACACAGGTGTAAACACACCAGATCCCGGTCCCCTCCTAACGTCCTGTTCTTCTTGGATCAAATGCTTTATTGAAATAAACTATAACTTTTTCCCTGCTACAAAATATGATGATAAAAAAGAATAAAAATAAAAGAATATAAAAAAGAATATGAAAACAGTAATCATAGTATAGTAGTAATAATGGTATTAAGACATACCTTATGTTATGGTAATACTTTATAATATATCTTATTATATAGCTGACAGATATATTGCATTACACAGGGATAGCATGTGGTAAAAAGATTTCATGTATCTGTCCTTATGGCAGATACAGTCCTTGTGCACATTCCTAATAATGCAGATTTTGAGTTAAGACTTTTTATTTGTTTGTTTGTTTGTTTTTTGCTTGACCATGGTTTTCAGACATACCTGCACAGCTTTGTGTGTTTGCAATTTTTACTTCTGCCAAGAAGGTTATGTTTTTGGTAGCTTTTGCATGACTGTTATTTTTTTGTAAACATCATAGCTGAAAAGAAAATGAATTAATCCTGATCAAACTTTGTAGGGGTGTAGAGTTGGGTTATGTAAATTTAGCTTACATCCACCTCAAGGTTAACTTTGTGATTGGTCAAAAATGAACAAAAATCTTTATAATTTAGAAGCTATGATTCTTAAAAGTGTGAAGTCTGTGGTCAATATATAATGGTACTTAAAATATCATGTTACATCTGACCTCTGACCCCTCCTTCCAGGTCAAAGGAAGTCAAACTTTATTAAAATGTTTTTTATTTTTAAAACTGTGCTTAAAGATGTACTGCCTTTGTTTGTATTGGCAAAATTTAGGATATGAATTTGGTACATGGGGAGTCTAAATGTTTCATTATAGTTTCCACATATTGAACCTCTGATCAGGTTTCAAAATGTGTTACATCGTTAATGAAAGAATTAGTTAGTTAGAAATTTACTGCACGATATTTATACAATAAGCTATTCATGTCCAGTTATTTACAAATCAATACATATTATCCAGTACTTTCCGTGCTGCTCTCTGAGAGGAAGCTAGTACCATGCTCTCCTGAGTTTTAAATGCACTTTAGAACAGCACACAGCAACACTACATATGAGCGGGCGTAGGGAGGTTTGAGGTCTTCACTCACCCCGGTTCTGTTAGCCGTCACGGCTGGGGGGCTGGGAGGAGGTGCCGGCCGTCAGACTGGGGTCTGGGATGCGGGGCCTCCCTGCTACTGCAGATAAGGAGGTGGTCCGCTTGCCTCCACCCCAGAGAGAAGGGTTACATCTCCTGGGTCTAGGTGCGGCTTGCCCCTCTG